CAATTTAAATGCAAATTCGAAGTTGTCTCGAGAATTTATATAGCGTATGAGGACAACAAAGTGGCAGGCAGCTGGTTCCATATTCACTGGATAATTGAGCATTTTTAGTGAGAAGGATTTGCATCGTTCGAGGTTGGAACAATGGGTCTTCCGGTTTGAATGAGCGGCAAGTTTATTCAGTGTCCGCACGAAGTGATCGGTCGACGCAGTCGTGTGTGGAGGCATTGTTTACTAGGTTGGGTATTTAATAGATGATTATTGAATAACATTCCCGTCACAACAAATGCTATGGTCAGTAGCCGTTTGAGGTGGACTGCAGGTGCTTACTAATGTAAATGTGAGTGAAGGGGATCAAGAGACTTCCTGACTGATATCGTCAAGGAAGGTGACTGCAGCCTCCACGTGGCTAGTGAAGCCCTGTAGCAGCAGAGGGAGAAGTGAGTATCGTTGTTGAACCACTGTTTGCCTGATTTTGAAGGATCATGCAGATTCTCACACTATCGCGTCGTTGTCCGACATTGGAAGCGGTTGTGAGGGGCATTTATGGAATTGTGTATGTTACGCTGTGAATGACGTGTTGAAGAGGTATCTGGTGAGGCCTAATGAAGCTATGGGTCAAAAGCGCTTGTCTGTCTACTTGGTGGTGACAAAGGGATTAGATGATGTTAGGTCAGGTGCAGTCGAATCAGTCCGAGCCAGGGCAGAGCAGAGTAGAACAGGGTGACGCAAGGAAGAGCAACAGTAAAAGCAGTAATAAATTTGGTTTACCTACGATTTACATTTTTAGAAAATGCATGCGGTTGCTAGTCAGACAGCAGAGGACCAGTGCGAAATATGCCGCAAAGTGAATGAGTCACCTCAAAATCACCAGATGATTATGAAGCGTCGCCAATATTTGGTGCAATTCCATTTCTCACTCATGATAACCAAATTAGCTATTCTCCTGGTTGAGTTTATCTGAAGAGGGTAGATCGTTTTCTCCAACAAGAAGGGATCTCGTCACACTTCAAGTGGGAGGAGCAGCACAAATTCAGTGGTGTAGGCATGTTTTAGACGCCGAGCCGATGTTCTCCTGAAGGGGAGTATTTATTGAGGCTGCTAAAATAAGTTTTTACTGGGTGCATCTGCGGAAACATGACGGTCGGGGTGTCAGAGTAAGTTACTGTTTAAAGAAGACTTCTGGTACAGGAATCAATAGACCATCTAGTCTGAAATAAAACGCTGCATTTATCCTCGGCGCTCTTCTGTTCGATTGGAAAACGAGGTCTGCTTCAATGCTTGGCGGACAGCAATTTGGTAGACAGTGTAGCCATCAGCTTTTGAAGCAAAGGGTGTTTGCTTTTGGAGATTCATCGGGGCACAAGTGCTAAGAGGTTACAAAGGTATATTCACAAGACGCACTGGCGTCGTTAAAACTCGCTAAGGAGGGTGAAGAAGATATCCTAACAACTGGCTTGGTTAATCAGTGGCGACTGTTCGCGGAACATGTCTCCCAGCCTCGAGAACGTGAGATTTAGCTTGCATTGCACCATCCCTAACCACGCATCATCAAGGAGCAAGGGCTTGGTGAAGTGCATTGCCGGAGCCATGTCGTGCACATGGTGATAGCTCCACAAATTGCACATGCCAAAGTACTGTGGTGTATGCATAGGCCAAGGAATTTCGCGCTTTGAGCAAGCTCACTGTGAATACATGCTGGGGTACCGGACAACAGGATTTTCACAATCATTTCGTAATCGTGATTCAGGTTCTCTCGCATTTCCAGCTTTAAGTCACGAACGAAGTTGGCTAACTTGTTGGGCTTCACGACAGAGTCGCCGTCAAGAAAGAAGAAGATCGGTTTGTAGGGCCGGCGAATTCGACAGGCATTCCACCCTTGCCTTCGCCTTCTGAATATTATCCCTACATGATTTCTTTCCTACCGAGTGTGAATCATCCACTCTCGTAAAGGAATGTTATACAAGTGCTGTTGCGGTTGAAAAACAGTGAAGCCATGCAAGTTTACACAAGTGTGGTTTCTACAAACTGCACTTCCACTTTCCAGAATGGTCTTCGGGCCAGACTAGCAGGTTCCCTAACGCTCCTGTACCTTAATAATGCATGTTCCTCCTTCCCACAGATGGCAAATTCTCACACATGAATAACAGTATCGTGAATTTCTTCTTCTACTGAGGTAATTTGCGTCTGACATCGTCAATTATGTAGTTATTCAATGATTTGCATGCATCTGGCTCGCGCGTGGATGTAGTGTCCCAACTCAGAAACGAGGGTGACAAAATGATTTAATTTTGTACGTATTCCTACAGCAAGCATAAAATGATACCATGAAGGAGACTGGTGAATGGTCTGCTACCATAATGTAAATCACCTCAAAAGGAAAATCTTACCTCCTCCAGCCTTTTCCTGGACTGCCACGTACACATTCGCTTACATCAACCAAATTCCCTTGCCTTTTTTGGTGATAAAATAATTTAAATATATAATGTGAACTATATGGCTTTACTACTAAAGCAAGTCCTACTTTAAGGCTAGGTTTATCGTTCTAGCTGAATGTGGGGCACAACTTTTCTGAAAGGTTAAGACAAAATAAATGCTAAAATAGACCTTTCCTAGTTTGCAGGGATGGTGTATGCAATCTAACTAACGTCAAAACTGGCTGAATATATGGCGTTTATGGCTAAACTACCATACGTAAGTTGGTTTTAAACCAAGAAGAGCATGAAATGTTTTGAAGGGCTGTAGAGTCCAAAAGTATTTGTGGCAAGCGCAAATTTTTCGGTCATAAGATTCCTTGACTAATATGGTCATTTAACTTGAGGACATATTGCACAATTTTGCACAAATGTGTTGATCGTATTGTTAGTCCCACCAAATATTTGGTGATGGTTTTAATTTTTCAAACCAAACAATAGTCCTTGCTTGTCATCAAACAATTAGTATGATGGGAGTTTTGGCGAGGATTAATGCCCTATTTTGGAGTATCTTTGATGAAAGCATAGAATAACTTATTTCCGACACGGTGAAGATCAAACAGTCTTTTGCATGAGTCTCTGATTGTTGTGCAACTCATATGAAATCAAATGTTATCGAAAGCGTGAGTGACCTCCAGAAATGTAGTCGAAGCAAAATTACTACTCCCAAAGTCGTTTTCAAAAATCTGCTTCCAATGTAACATCTCCGCACCATTAGCTGATCCTAGGTTCTTACTTAACCGATGAGTTTATGGCAAACAAAGCCTCACTTGGAAAGTATGTTAACCCAGAAGAATACAATCTGAATGAATCTGCTTGAAAAAGTGCAACATTCCTCTTGAAGCATTTCCCATTTTCCTGCTTAAATTGTGCAAACACCATTTAGTTAAGTTTCTTTCTAGGATTTGGAGTATATTTGTAGACATTTTGCTGCGACTGTAAAGTCAAAATTTTACATTTATGTCAGTCGGCATCATTTGCGCAATTATGCCCACTGCAATTGCAAAGGTTAAAAATTCATCAAAGTTATTGCGCCCTAAGTGATCAAGTGTAACGCATAGGATTTCCTTGTCATGGATGACACGACATTTCAGTATCGGTAATGAAGTGCAATAAATTTCCTAGGTTAATGAAATAAAAGTCCATACTTTAACAGATCAGTTAGATTATCCCAACCCATAAGATGATTTTGTACCTTCTAAAATATGCGCTTTCTCCTTATACCCTCAGCCACAGCGCTAAACAAAACGGAAAGTAAGATTATTTTCGCAGTCATCTGGGTTCATTTATATGCTCAAAAATGTTGGATGAACTATGTTAAACTAACTAAATTATCAGGTGTTGCTTAGTGCAGGCTGTAGGAACAAAATGTATTTGAATGTAAAAAGCGATTTCAATACTCCATTCCTTTATCAGAAATATTTTACTTTATTTTCAAAGGTACTTTCAGTGTTTAAGTCCAGGCTTGAAAAATATATTGCTCTGTCTAATTGAAAGGATGTAAAACTTAAATTCTAATTTAATTTGGACATCTATTATGGAGACTACTTTCTCATAAACGCAAATCATGTGAATAGCCTTCTGCACTCACCATCAGCTAGCTTTCTTTTATGCTTCAATCTAGAATTCACGTATTCCTAATCACTTGGAATGTGGGTGGTGTGGTGGTTGAAGAGGATTCACAATAACCGTTGCTTCATTGCATTCCATGGATCAACGTTATTCACATTCGCTGAAGTTGATAACGAACAAGGATCCTCTCACAGGATGATGCAGATTATTGTTGCATTAGTGCACACAAGTTGGGTGTACCCAACGTGCCTAGCTTCATTTGTAAATTATCTCTAGGAATTAACAAATCAAATGCTTGATTTAGACTTATCGAAAGACTTAACTTCAGTTCTGAAATTGTTCGTTTCCTTGTTTTAACGTTTCGGTGTCATCGTTTATAATTAATATAAGGTTACTTGAGGTAATTTACCTACTTGGCTGGTTAATCTTAGCGATGTCTTTAGAAGTATGCATCAAATTAGGGGCATTAGAAATTCTACAAATCAAATTATTGGGGGAAAATTCGTTCTGCATTATCTGGGGCTGAATTTTGCCTAGTCCTTAAGTCTACATTGGACATTATTGACTCTGATTTTTACCTCTTCACTCACTGGGCTCTACGCATATTGCAAATGGTGGTTTCGAAAACGCTCTACTAATTTCACTTCATGTCTTAAGTAACTATACCTCAACTGGCCAGTGGCATCCGCGTCGGTAATTAGTAGTGTGACGTATCTGTCATATACTACTGCTTACATTAGTGTTACAGCAGCACATTGGCTTTGCCTTCCCTGTGGGGATATCACAAACCATTATAGTGCCATACACAGTCAGCGCTGCATGTAGAACAGCTACCGACTTCTTCGCCAACCAATAGAGGCACCAATTTGCGATAATCTTTGGGCACATTGTCTGAGAACGAAGTGAACACTTCTCACCTTTACGGGGCTTGTCGATATGTCTTGCATTCCTTAGGTGATGAGCAGACTGCACCCAGATGTGCGGCAGCTGAGCTCCTTGAAGCTCTGGCTGTCTCAATGGAATTTCTTCACATCGCGGTGCAACAATAGACAACAATCCCTTTTCACCCTAAACCATCAAATTCATCCCCTTGATGTGAGTCAGGACTACAGAAGCCTTACGAAGAACGGTGACAACGTGATACTAACTGATACAGTGGATGCTAAAAAGTGGTCTTCCTACTAATCTGCTCTGATAATATTTGTGAAAATTATGGTGGCCTTCTGATGAATGCTTTGAAGTTTCAAATAGCCCAAACATTATAACGCTGCTTACAACTTCTTTTACTTTTCCACCTTTATTCGTATAGAATGCTAAGTCTTGTATCGCACTCAAATTATTTATTAAAGCGCTATAAATCACACGATAGATTAAGAGACACACAGTTGCCTAAGTGAAATTAAAAGACCGCCTGAACTGGAAAATCGAGCTGACACATTCTATTGCTTCGCACATCGTAACTCAGTGAGTGCAATTGCATTACATTCTGGCGCATTAGAACCCTTGTTAATTTAGTTTGTTCATTAGAACTACTTTGTAACCTCTCTCGGAAAGCATTGCCCCCTCGATACTCGCCAACGCGCCGTATTTGCTGATGGTGCACTCTAATGCGGACATTGCAGAACTGATAACAATGGTCAAAGCAAATTTGGTATAAACATGACTCATTTGAAAACACTAAATGAGGGCTTCAAATTATTCGAAACTTCTATTTATAGTAAATATAAATATTGAGTGCGGGTAGGTACAGGTGCCACTGCGTCATAGAGATTCATGGCTGATAAATGCGTACCTTACCCCAACCCCTTTTTCGCCCTAGGGATAATCCACACAAGTCAATGTGTTTTTAAGTCGAAAAATCATCTTGGCTTCCCTAAATTAAGTATTTTTAAGATAATGTGCTGCTTTGCCTGCAACAGTGCCAAGTCAATTAAATGTTCTTTTTTTTGCTTTGTAGGTGGATATACACGGACGCAATCAAGCGCAATTTCCGCCCGATTTTGATTCCTTTTATTTTCCATCACTAAACTACAAAGTCTACCTCTCCTTTGAGAAACTCAACTGCCGAAATTACATAACGGGAAAGGTCTACATCAATGCTATGCAGTACGTAACGTTTCCTCCCTAATTAGGCTAAATGCAATTGAAGTCTGCCCTAGGATAGTCGCCTTATGGGCCTTGACGTAAAAGTTCAGCATGAGAGATTTCGCCCACCTTCTACTTCTTCTATCATCTCAAGTTAGGTAGCCATGACATGTTTTTTCCGGCTGAAGCACTTGTCCGCTAAGCAGAGCAAAGCTATTCCATAAGGGTAGCTGGTAGCAAGTATGTGGGAGTTGAATAGCCTAACGTGACCATGAGAGGAATGCGATGTGAGCTGCATGGCATATATTGTGGGGAAAGTGGATATTTGGCTGCATGTGGATCCATTCATATCATGGTTTACTTGTCTGTCACATCTATTACCTGGTTTAATTAATTTTAACAATTCACGCATTACAGGTGGCCAATTTTACCGTAAAAACACATGATTTCCTTGTCTTTAATTCCACCTATGCACAGTGCAAGAATGGGGATGTTGCAGTTTACTTTAGCAACCCATTTTACAACTTACACTGGTGAGTTCTTCAGTCATTCATTCATTTATTCTCTGCACGTCATGGTGTGCAGATACGATATGATTCCCATTGTGTTGGGCGCCTTCAAGGACGACTACGGAAGCACACTGCCTCCTCACTCTTTCATCATTGCGGATGACCACAAGTCGATTCGTGAATTGATCGACTGCTTGCTCTATTTGGACAAAGATGGCGCCGCCTATGCAGCCTACTTTGCCTGGAAGGAGCATGGTACATTTGCCGTGAGTCTAACCACTGATATATGAACATTAGGTATTTGCACAGGAGTAAGCAAATCCGTATCTTAGTATAAAGTGATAAACTGTGTGGTTGAAAAAGAGTGTATGAATCAACAAACGTGATTGCTGTATCAATTTGTAAAGGAAATCTACCAAGTGGAATAGAAAATTTTCGCTTACTGCAAGTGTAATGCCCACTTAAGTGGGCGTGGCTGGAAGTCGTACTACTTAAAGGGAACTAAAGGACTACACCACCAGCTATTATTCGCACATCAATGTAGGCGTGTGGGGCATGTAGAGGGCATGGAGGTCTACTGCATGCAAAGTACGTCAAAAGCTCCTAGTAAACGCAAGATACGAAGGAATCGTTATTCAAAATGATATTTTTCGGGTATTCTTACCTTGAAGTTGTTAGCGCTTATGCATATTTTTTTTTAAACGAGAATATCACATCGAGGAACTGCAAATGACATTATTGAAGAGATATTTATATTTCAAAGAAGGGCCTTGAGGCGCACAGCCACGGCAAATGACAACAACGATCATTTCGATTTAAGAACTTACAAGTGTATACACCAATTTAAGCAATTTTAAACAGTAATTTCTCAATTAGTTACCTATCTTTGCAGTGTTCCTTGTCCGAACAGAGCTTTGCCCCATTGTTGCCGTTCTAGGAAACACAGCTGTGCGCACACATGAGGTAAGTAGAAGGTAGTTGGTCTGCAGGTGCGAAATATTGAAGCTGGAATTGTTGTGTGGCAAACACCGGAGATCATTTCTCAAAATAGCCAAGGAAATGCAGGATTTGGCAAGTAGATAAATGCCCAAGCAAAAAAGGTCGCTACTAATTGGGTGAACGATTGAGTCGGGAATAAACGAATGGTTGTGTGGACAAAAGGAGTTTTTAACAGAGTTTTAACTTCTGATTCATAGAGACCGATTAAGCTGGACTGCCGCCTGTACGGTTTTATGCACAGACTAAACGAAGATGAATGCAGCTGAGTTCTTGGATTCTCAGAGCCTCTGCTTTGGCAGATCCCTCCCTGCTCTCGAATGACATCATCGACAGTTGCCTTCTCCTCCTACCTCGTATAATACCAACTCTTACCTGACGCCTATGTTTGTAAGCTGCCTTTTCATCCAAATCTCATTATCTACCATCTTAAACCGTGTTGCAGCAATGGTTTAAGTGATAGTTCCAGTTTTTTTACTGTGCTGCACGGGACGTTGGAGTTGATAACAGGTAATTCCAAAAAAAGAGAATTTTATTAGGATCGCGGTCCTGCTAGAAGTTGGGCTACTCAGCACTTATGCTACCACGTCACGTCTGGAAGACACAATTTGACTGGTGCGTCGATGTTGTAGGACAGTGTTAACGGCTGCAGTGGTGTATTTTTTGGAATTTTTTTTCTTGAACTATACTACTGCTCTGTATACTGTTAAAAATGAATCGATCTCAACACAAAACTGTCCTGCGATTCCCTTTTATTTGCACTCAATCATTGCCACTGCCACACATTATTCCTCACTTGGGCTATTTTCATTATTCTTCATACAACTCTGAAGTCATGCGCAATTTTTTTGCCTAAAATAGCCGCAATCGGCACCTGATGTAGGCAAGTCCGATTCGTTTGTGTGATTTTGTATTGAGGACACCAAAACTGATAAATTAACTGCATTCGCTAATGACGTGCAAACTGTGTGGGAGCCTCAGAATTAATGCTTAAGTCATACCGGCCTTTTGACACGGATTCATCACAGCAAATTGTACCCAGGTGACCGTGTCGTCACAAGGCCCACTCATCGATTTAGACACTGTTTTCAATGCTAACTTACAGCCTAATATCCAAGCCTAACTCATCGACATCTGTTTGAATGAGAACGCATAAAACTAAGAATTAGATCCCACATCCCCTAAATCCTCACTCTATCACATTAACTAAAATACTGGATGTGATTTCAACCACATTTACCACAGAATTACTCAATTACAAACACGCTGCTTGACAGAGATATATTAACTTAGCATCGTTTTACCCTACAATTACAAACCGCATGATCACCTAGGTGTGATAATTTCTTGTCCTTTTCATCATAGTCCAGCATTTACATTCGGCCATTAACCATTGGTGACACTATAAGTGCACCCAACCATTTCTCGACTGATTTGAGCACCAGAACGAATCTGGAAGCATTTAACGGGTCTGCGTTGCTCTTGGCTATTTTAACTTATTCGGTGTTGTCAGACATAAATGCCAAGAATAGCAAGTTGAAAGACAGAGTATTTAAGCACAAATTAGTCGTTTATCATAAAAACACGTCAGCAACATTAACGCCAATTGCAAGTTAATTTTGCGCCTAGCATTATAATGAAGCAGTGGTAGGTGAAAGACCGGGGTGCCACAGGCCATTTGCGAATTTGGTGCGTAGACAGCTTTTTGATTGCGCGTGACCTCATGGGTGTGGCGGCTGAAGAGGATGCCCGATAACCGTTGGCTCATTGCATTCAGTAGAATTATGCTTCTTCCACTCTCCGGGCAAGATGACTGACGCAAACTGTCTCACACAACGATGCAGAAAGATAGTCGCGTAGGCGCACGCACTATCGGGCTTGCCTAACGCGCGACACCTAAGGTGGACCAGTAAATATCAATTCATTTAATTTTACTTGTATGCTCTTAAATGAATGTCCGATATTTGAAAACATTCATTATGAAGTAGAGAGTCAAATGTTTGGTTCCGACTAATCAAATGAAATAAGTGCATTTTAGACGATAGCCTCCTTTGGTTGGGTGTCAACTTTGCTGCGTTCAAATTTTTGTATGCTGCCACCTAAATTATTTCCACTACTTATTATATTAAGTCAATGTCGACTTCAAAAACATTAATCAAACGATACGTGTAAGAAATAGGCCAAATCTAAGCATCAGAGTTTAAATTCTTCCCTCTCATGCGAAACTGAAGGTTATGCATGCAAAATTATCTGCAAAGCAATTTACAAATATTTTACACGGTTCCTATAACGCCCTACGAAGGCCGTGGGAAAGGTTTCATTCAGATTGAGACTTGTGTGTTAAGATCCATGAGTGGACTCGTGCACCAGCTGAATGATCACGGCACTTTCGTGAAACATATAAGAGGCTTCTTTTTCCTGGAAAGTTCTGAATCAGTCGGCGTTTTATTTGCCGTTGTTAAGTTGTTAACCATACAGCACAAGTTGTGCCATGCATTCTGAGATGCAACCTAAAATCTTACCTCGCAAGGCCATTTAAAACATTTTGGGATGAAACAATTTTAATTGCTTAAAGATACCTCTAACTACTCAGTTTATGGCTGGAATTAGAACCAAGCGATTCTTACTGCTGTGTCCAAATGTCTACATCAAAAAATCCAGCGTTCAAATGCGAGAACTGTCGACTTCTCTATTAAATATGGTTGTTGTGTCTGCAATGTTTTGCGGAATTCGCGGATTTCATTCCAGCGTTTCTGGTTCGAAGCTCACTAACCCAACCCCTGAACCACCACTTTTCAGCAGTTATTTTTTTCGCAGTTCGTATTCTGCTTAAATCTACCCCAAATACAGCCTGTTAAGCTTTTTGGTCCAAGTTTCTCTAATAAATTCATTTAACTTCTCGCAAATAAAACATCTGCTATTTTCACCTCAATTTGTTACTCTGAAATGCAAATGCAGTTTTTGTCTTCCCGCGCGCCTCAAAATTATTCATGCAGCCCATGGTGCAACTATTAGGCAGCAAAACTAAGCTGAGCAACTGAAATCAGCATAGTTATTTGTGATGGACCTTTTAATGGCAAATTATTGGTGATTTTACGTCCTTATAAAAGCCCATACGCTTTTGTGGAAATGATGAGTATTGATGAACTCAATTCCATCAAGTAATATGTGGAGGAAGAGGACTTGTTATAGTTGCCGCATCCATCACTGAATTTTTAGCCTGAAATACTAAACGCACTTCCTTGCACTATCTTTAATACGAGCTTCTACAAAGCCGTGGGTGAGTCAGAGTAAGCAACTTAACAAAGCTAGAAAGGAGCGCTTTTGCTAGCGAAATTCACCTACATCACGAGGTGATGGACAGTTTCAAAAGGCCAGCTCTAATTAGCGATTCTAGTGCCTTTTTACATGACATCACACGGGAAGCCGGTGTGTATAGTGATGAAGACTTCATTTGAGTTAATTTCACTTCATCAAATGCGGGACCATCATCATTATCATCGCTGTTATCACCATCTGTATTGCGGCATTTCCAAAGTTATTTAGACACCATACTACTCCAAAGCCTTTATCAAAGTCATCAAACTTGCAATACAGGCTGTTGTTGAGAAGCCCACCCAAATGGCCTGCAAAGTCACATACAGAGGGTTGATTAATTTTTTCCTTTGTGGCTCGTAATTATGCTGTGTTTTCCTCCTCCAATCATCCAGCTCTTCATTTTTAGCCTGCCAAATCTCCTCTCTCGACAGGAGACAGTCACAACTTTGGACCAGGCTGATGGCAACGACAATAACCCCAACGAACAGGAATTTTGAAATGGCTTCCACTACTATTGCGGCTGCTGTTACCATGGCAGACTTCTTAGTCTTCGGTAGGATTCGAGTGACACAAAATGTCTTAAGATCCTGGCACTTGCAGCTGCGACTCGATCGAGCCTCTGGACTGCAGAGAGATCCACTCATCAAAATAACCAGTCAGTATTTTCGTAGGGAGGAGGAAACGAAAGTTTCTCGGCACTGCGTTGTGGAACATTGTCTCCGTAAAACGGGAGCCAGTCAATCAGCTGCTAATCTGTAAGCCGAAATGTGACATGGATTTGCGTTCTTGTCTAAATTTCGGTGTTTAAATGATATTGTACGAGCAGTAAGAACGATAAGCGCTAGGTAAGGTATTATAGTATTTTGTTAGGAGAGGTCTGGACTGGAACAAATTCGCAAGCACGATTAGTGAAAGAAAGTGAATCCACCAATTACAAACCAAACGTGTGTCCTTCGAAAACCTTATTGCGCTTCCATCTTGACTGGTCATTGACTGAATTTAATCCACCAGAATGGGGAGCAGAACACCGCAACCGCTTTGTTTTGTGAATTGAGGCAGTATGATGGGGTGTAAAATAGCAGTTCTCTGATCATTTTCTGTACTCACGAACACCCACGAATTGAGTTTGGAGTGGGAAGATATACTGAAGTAGCAACGTTGCGTGGCTTTTGAAATCAGTAAAAGTGAGGCAAGGATATGTGGCTTGGATGAGTGACATGAGACTATCTTTGTGTTGCGCACCTGCTCAGTGTTTAACAGTCGTATCTTTACCGAAAACAAGTTTCGAAATGAGATGAGAGGCGAGGAAGTAGGGACTGTCTTTAGAAGTGCAGTGTTAGTGAAATCGCAGCCCAGCCAAATATGAGTAAATGGATTTTGATGCCTCCGTAGAGCTGGGGAAGAATTCAGATGGCACGATTCGTGCTCCACTGATATTT